GTAGAATGTGTTAATCTTTGAGGTGCGAGGTTGGCTTTAGCTAATGTTGGCGACATCTGAACATTACTGACGACAAGTGCGGTAAAATTTCTACAGGAATACAGAATTTTGCTGAAAATTTCAAAAGAGAAAAACGAGGAAATGCGTTTCTTAGATAGCAGCTGTTGCCGAGGTTTGCACGAAGCTGAGTCTCTACAATTCTTTGATTTTTTTTTTTTTTAAGCGAAAACAGATCGCTGTGTACTTCGGTAGAAGAATAGCGCAAAAAAAATTAGAAAGGTTTGAAGAAGAATGTGTTTTATTTTTTTAATGAATCACCGTAATCCTTATTTAATAATGTATTTTAAATTGCTAAAATGTGTTTTTATATACGACAATGTTTACCGACTTACCATACCATACCATAAGCACTGATAGTTTGGGAATCTTTCATAAAAAAGGCGGAAAAACCACCAACTTGTGCCCGATAAGTAACATCTACCGTTTCATCTGTAAAAAGTCGCCAAATTACGCCAATTTGGTTGCGTTAATACGAAAATACCCTTTTTCAGTACTGAAGCAAGCTACTACTATATTATTAGGCAGATTTTCGCATTAATTATTGTTGACCATCAAATATTTCACAAAAAGTCTCCAATCCCATATCCATTATTGAGGATTAACCATAAAGCTACGTGTGAATTTTAGCTTTATTACATTTAATGTATTCCTTATCATAACTGCCTTCATTATGGGCATTTGATGATTAATCTGAGAATCAAACTGTGTATTACAAATTTGGCAGTTTTTGTGACTAACTTTAGTAGGCGTTTTAATGAGTTAGTACATCACTGTTTAGACATTTAATAAACAAACTACTTTTATTAAATGTAAATAAATAAATGTTCCTGTCGGTTTTTCAGTACTTATATGATGCCTCCGTTTAATATTTTTCATGCGATTTGTATTAGCTGCAGTTTTAACCTGCCAGTCTGAGGTCCCAACAAAAATCTTTTGTGAAATCGTGAAATTCCTGCATTTGGGAATTCTAAGTCCGGTGAGGAATCTCTCAACTTGAATTAATTTTTATTGGAACTGCAGTGGCGTATATTCTTGTGTAATGTCCGCATATTACATTCAGGGAATATGTAAGGAAAAGAAGTGATTTCAGTTATATCCACATTTATACTTTATGAAGAAAAAAAATTGCTAGATGGATAATTCTATTCTTTAAATGATATAAATTTTGTGCATTATGAGTTATAATATGAACGAAATATAATACTGTTATGTGAATCTAGCGCCAGAGTGTCGCTATGGTAAACAAATACTAGAGTGAATTTTAGAGAATGCATTTATTCTATTGTGGTTTATGCGCTGTCGGCGAAGTAGGTTTAATTCAATCTAATAAGTTTAAATGAAATGCAAGAAAAAATGCGTATAATTTAATATTCCTTACAAGGAAGTCATGTGGTGTACACATCAGATTTTTTTAGTATGGCTTAGGTAAATTTGATGGGAATTGTCAATCTAGGGAAATGAGTCTCTTGGAAAAGAATATCATTCTGAAAGCGTTTTTAAGTAACGAATATCTAAAATAAAATGGACGGAATTGAGAGGATTTCTTATTGGTGAAGGGGCGAGGAATGTTTTCGATCATGATGGCGAAAAGACAAAGGAACTGACCGTTTTTCAAAAGTTAACTGAACTGGGTGAACAACTTTCGTAGATATGATAAACAATGCGTACTTGAGAAATTTTACGACGACATATTCTGTTTAAAAATACTTATTAAAAATTGTTTCCGAATACTTAATACCTATTTTGAAGAAAGTAAAGCTACTACTTTGTTATGTGTGTAGGAATTTTGAAATTTGTTAGTTAGATCAGATTATTTAGATTAGATCCTTGAAAAAAAGACTCGAGGACTACGTGTCTAAGAGAAGGGATGCCTTCCTATTCATTGGCCCATCAGCGGCCGAGCGGTAAAGTCGCTGAACACTGGTAGTTCGGTCCGAGGTTCGAATTCTGTGAACGGGCTGGCTGTATGGGCGTTTTCGTGGTTTTTCTCATGTGTGACGTGTATACGAGCCAGTTTCCCTTAGAACGTCCTCCACGAAGGCATCCCTCCCCTTAGTCAGATAGCCCTCGAAGCTTTGCCATAATCACACACGCACACACACACACACACATTCGTATTCATTTTAAACTTAAAGGCAAATGGAACATAAAATGGTTCAAATTTTGGAATTTCCAATTATAGTGCTACAAAATACAGCAGACTCAGATGATTCCATAAATATGTAATTTGTACAGGTTTGGAATATTAAAGTCCTTAAATACGGTATTTGAAAATGTAAACAAACAGTGCCATGACCGCTCTCTCGTAAGGGACATAAGTTTTTCACGTTTTTCAGCATTCTTGCTGACTGAAAGGAGTAAATCCTCTTTTTATTTGACCCTTCTCTCAAGAATAGCCGAACTACACTTTTCCGATACATTTCTCCATTTTTCTGATAGAAAGCTTTTCTACAAATGCACAAATGGCAGCACTTAGAATCCTAATGAGGGTTTTAACCATTGTTCATGGGAACGCTTATCTAACACTGTCTTTATCTCTGTAACTATTTTAATAACAGATGTTTTAGATGCTGTAATTTGTTTTAACGATGGAACTTAAAAACAGCACAAACGTTCTAAAATATCTGGGACTTGAACCGGCAATAATATGAAATATTCATTGAAAAAAAAATTGATGAGGCTCGAGTTCGAGAAACATCCTTAAGTTTCTAAAATCTCTCTGAATCAGCCATAGTGAAAATTAAAATCATCAAACAAAGATCAATTGATGCAGAAACGCTAAAACAAAATTTGATTATGGTGCTGGAAGGTTTTTTAAAGTAGTACATTTTAAGCATTGTAGGTATGCATATAGGTGTTTGCTTTTTTCTCAAAATGTGCTTTTTTTTTTTAAATGCTTCAGAACATTTTTGTGAAGACTCTGTTTAAAGTAGAGTATTTAAACTTTCCCAAGTTGTACAACTAATGTTTTTCTTTAAAAACACCTAATGCTATAGATCTGAATGGGAAAAATTTTGAAAATGATGAAAAAAATGTTCTTAAAAGTTTTAGAATTTTCCAAGCTTTTAGCAAAATTGATTTTTTTTAACCGAAATGAAAATTGCATCGTATTATTTTCAAATAGTATATTTTCGGTTACCATACCAAATTTTAAGGAGATAAACTCAATAGGTTTTTAGAAATATGTACCGAACAGATATATTTCTCAAAAAATTTCATGTAGCTATATAAAAAGTTAATTAGCTCTTGGAAATTAATTTTTGCAGGTAATTAAATTCTTTTTGCTTAAATATAAGCTTAAATAATTTAAATATATGCTAAAATATAAGCTTAAATAATTTAAATATATGCTAAAATATAAGCTTAAATAATTTACTCTCAATTATATCTGTATTTTTAAATAAAATACATCATGTTGAACATTTTGCAAAAGGTAAATAAACTTTTGCAAAAACTGTTTCATTTCTCCGGTCGAGATGTTCCATGTACCCTTAAGGAAAACCACAAAAGTTTTCACATTAAACATCCCATTCGCCGTGATATGAACCAGGGTCGATATACCAATATTCAGCAGTTTTATCGCTTGACCACTGGCATACCGAATTTGTTGGTAATTATAGGCATTTAATTATAGTATTTTATGCTCTTTTTAGTTCGTCAAGATTTATGAGCATTCCTTGGAATAGTTTATTGAAATTGGAAATTAAATCATTCGCATAATGCTCGTACTTGGAAATCTGCCTGAAATTTTAAGTGCAAACATGAATACTAAATGTGCGGACATAAGACCGTGCACACTCATTCTTCACGAAAGAAAAATGAAAGTTATAGCAATTTATAGATGTGTTCAAATTCATTTGTTTTTATAACAAAAATTTACTAATTGTATTAAAAGTGATCAGTTTACAGTGAAACAGAAAAGGATTCCATGCAATATATTAACTGTAGATACAATTTAGCATTACAATTTGATTTTCTTTTTTGATAAGATAATGTGTCAAATAACTGTGAGCACCGAAGAGAATGATGTATAACTAGAATGAACGAAAAATTATTGGTAGTACTTTCACGGATAGAAACATTACTCATATCTTTTTGGCAAGAAGAAAAACCTATATCTAGTTATAAGCAAATAATTATTGTATTTATTAAGCATCAATAATGAGGATGTATAAATGGATTTTTTATCCATACTGATTTTATTCTTAAAATTTGACTGCAATTATATATAATAGCCTACACTTTAATTTTATGTCTTATAATTTTTTGAATGCATCAACTAAAGTACAGATTTTTTTTAATTTCATTCGTTTGCAGTTTGCTTCCTCATTAGGAGTGGTATTCAATTCAACATCTTGTTATTCATGTAAAATGTGTGCATCTCAAAAAGATCTCCACTTGCGGAGAAGGCAGTAAAAAGCTGATTTTATTTACATCCTTATTACCTGCTACTATTAGCCTATTTTTTCAGTTCACATATGTTCACACTTTGAAAAATTAGATTATCTGAATTTTTCTTTATCGTCTCTGTTTTTCCTTTTTGTAATGCAGTTCGCAAGTGATCCAAAAGTGTGTTTCCCTGACTTGCGTTCCTCTTTAGCTATAAATTAGTTAATTTCATGCTAATTGTGCTGTGGGTAATATTTTAAATAAAATTTATAATTGATTATTGTTACATTAATTTTTTTTAATTTTAATCTTTTTATTTATCTTATTTTAAATTAATGCTATTTTGGTCAGTAATTCAGTTTCTACATAAATAATTTTTAAATAACTGCAGTTTACATGTATTTTTAGATTCGAAATATATCCTATGTCGTTATGTATTAAATGTTATGTTCTAAACGTACTCCTTGTAGTTAAAAAGTGAAAAATTATTAAATAGAGTGTTTAATTATGTAAAAAATATGCCTGTTAAATTTACTTTTCTTTCTTTTCAGGTATTTGTGCTGCCGAAAACGACTCTCTCGAAAACTGCATAATATTTTAAGTTTCAAATTTATCAAAAATTTAAGCAGCCTTAATGACACAAAGCATCCAAGAAAATATGCTACATAAACTCTCGGATATTTTATTTCTGAGTCTTCTGATTTTAAACTGTTGAAATTGTTATGTCATCTGAGCGAATAAAACCTACTGGCCCTATATCAAAAGTAACATTTTTTCCTGTATCAGATGGGAAAACTGACGCATTAATAGTTACTATTAAAAACTTAAATTCCGAGACAACAGATGATGATCCAAAAGTGATGGATTCTGCGAAACCAAACACACCAACTATGAAGATCACTCCAGCTGCGTCCAATAAGTCTGTGATGGATTCTTCAAAATCAAACTCACAGGTCGTGAAGATCAGTCCATTTGCGTCTAGTAAATCTACCATGACCGATTCACAGAATGTTGTTTCATTAACATCCCAAACATCATCTGAAGAGTCACTACTTAGTAGTTCAACTAATGAACATACGACAGAAAATATTCCGTGCTTAAAGCATGCTGCTCAAAATATATCTCGAAAAGCATCTGACATTCCATCTGAAAAAATATCTTTGTGTAATAAATGTTCAAAATCTATGCTATCGTATATATTTGTAGTTCAGGACTTCTTAGATAGTCTAGCTAAAGAAATTTGCGATGATATTGATTCTGCACAGTGTTTACAGTGTTTAAGAGAAAAAGCCAGAGCTGATATAAGTTCCCGAGAAGATACCTCGAGAGCTGCTGTGTATGAAACAAATGTCAATACTCCAAGAAGAGTTTCTAGAAAATCGTCTGACTTAAGAAAGCCCGAATCAAAATGGAGCTATGAATCCCGATACAGTAAAAAGCTTCCAGGAGAGAAAGAAAGGAGTCGTGAAGTAAAAGAGTGTGATGAAGGCTTTACTTCTTCTCGAGAATCTATGCAGCGCAAAGAAAATGTATACCATCAACAATCAAAGGAAGAAATGTCAGCTGTCTCAGGACCCGATAGCCGCCTAATACAAGATGATAGATCTCAGCAAATAATTTCAGACAATCAAGGTAAACCTGAGCAAGCAGTTTTAGAAAATCAAAACGATAAGCCTCACCAAACACGTGTGGAACATTTTAGAGCATCTGAAATCCAGAAAACTTCTCCGTCTTTCTCTCCTGATCAGTCCTCTGTTTCATATGAACAATATAGCTCTGATCAGCAGCATTTCCCATCAGTTCCTGAACGCATTTCTTCCACATCCCCTGATCAAATAAGTATCTCATCACTTGAGCAGCTTGACAAACTATCATCTTCAACTCATAGCGCTATTATATCACAAGAAGCTGATTCTACACTGCCTTTGCAAATAGAAGAGCCACAGTTTGAAAGCAGTAAGTCAGGTGATATGCAAGAACAGGTGCATGAAACTGCTGTCATTGATAGTAATTATTCAAACATTAGAGCTCCAGCATCGCCGCTTAGTGAAGGCGTTGATGGCATCATGTCCACTCTTTCGAATGCAGAACGTGAAATATACGATACAGCTCGAAACGGTGCTGGATGGGAAAGTCTGAGCGAGCCACTCTTAAGACTTAGTTCTCCAACTAGCAGCCAAATTGCTTCAGAAGCTTTTGTAACGATGTGCCGTAACAACGCAGAAGCTTTAGGTTGTCTTGTAGTTGGAACATCTCTTCTTTTAAGTCGAACATCCAGGACTTTATGTGTTCTTGTTTCTGATGGAGTGAGCAACGCGTTTAAGTAAGTTTTAAGGCTTCATTACTGCTGCCAGCTTGTTTTCCACTTTCGAGAAAATGGGAAAAAGATGATCTTATTTCTTGAAAAATTTTGGAATGTTGAGGTTTTTGAATTAATAGATTTTATAACCTTCCAGAGAAATGTATTGATACGCACAAGTTAAAATAATTTGAGGATGTTAATTACTGTTTAATTTGTGACTACTAGGCCTTTTTGATTAATATCGCACGATAAAAGACTGATGACTACTGATAATTTAACAGAAATTTTGGAAAGCAGAATTGCAGCAGTATTTTCTTGAATTTTATAATATAATAAAACTTGAGATATTTCTGTCATAAGTTATGTTGAACTAATGGTCTGTAAATGAAATAAAGCTTTTTTTCAGAGGGCCATTATCATCCGTTTTCCATATTGTTCAATATGTGAGAGCACTGGATTCCCTTGGTACCACAAAGCTTGCACTCCTTGAACAACCAGAGCTAGGGATTTCATTTGATAAATTAAATGTGTGGCGTTTAGTGCAGTTTAGTAAATGCGTCTTCTTGAATCCTGATACTTTGGTAAGTGATATATATTCGGTTATCCATTCTATTTCAATGCAGAGTAATCTGGCGGATATGAATTTTTATTGCTAGTCAACTTCCGTTTGATAGTAGCAGGCGTAAAGTAGACATGTAAAGTAGGGTTTAATGAACTTTTTTATCTCGCTCCGTTACCATTTAATTTCTTTTATCAAGTAAATCAAAGGTTGCCAGCTAGAAATCGGGGAGGCTAGAAATTTATTGCCTATTAGATCCTTTTCTTTGGCTCGCGATTAAGTTAAAATATCTATTATTATTGACTGAGATTTTTAATATGTAAATATTTTCATACATTTTGGAAAAATAACGTCACCAGAGCTACGGATACACAGCGAACAGAATTATAGCATGTATGCAGATTTTAGATAAATGTACCCTTGAAAACTACCTTCTTTGAAATTTGTTTTACATACACGTGTGATGTGTTCTCCATAATTTGATGCATATTTCAATTTTATGACTTAAAATTTAGGGATATCCAGAATTGCACCTAACACTGCATTTTCATTTCTGTTTGCGCACATTTACGTTTGTTCTCTGTTTTAATCGATCTGCAAAATTATTTACAGGGACAGTTTGACGGAGGGAGTATCATATTGCTTTTCCATTTCTCTGCTATTTGTAGACGACTCAAGTTGCGCAGTTTCGTTAGAACTGGAGTTTTGTTTGGAACATTTAGTTCTTTAGTTATCAGTAAAAGGTTTGAGAGTTTATTTAATTAATTTATGATGTAAAATATATGCAAACGTATCACTGATTATTTTTCATTCTGCAGACTGACACAGCTAAAACATATTCATGTATAATGGTTTGCAGAACTAAAACGTAAAATGTCAGAATCTTTAAGGCTGCTTCTCGAATGTTCAAATGGATAAAATCCGTCAAATATGGATAGTTTAGTCTGGATTCCATTCCCAGTAAAATTTCAGTGAAATTAGTATAACGTGCTCGTTATAAAATGTTTTTCGTCATTTTTATGTAACTAATACTAATTTCAAGTTTTTCCATATAAAATATTTTATGAAAGCAGTCCTCTTACAGATACAGTCAATACTTTTTACCATAATCAAGTTATAATAGCTATTAAATTTTTAAAACTGTAGTACTAAGATTTTACGAATTTATTTTAAAGCAGAATGCAGTTCCTTATATTAAATGTTTGTTGTGCAATAAGAAAACTGCGTAAAACTTGAGAGCGTAAGCAAAATTAGATTTCTAAATTTATTTTAGCAATTGAAAAAAAACAATATCACAAGCACTGCTAGTGCAGATAAATGCTGATTTTTCTGAATTGTGCCCCTCTTCTCCAAAAGAGGAAGTATGGAATCCAATCTTAAGAAAAAAATGTAGGAACCCAAAAGTAAAAAAAAACATTAGACATAAAAAGCTATTTTTTTAGTCCAAAGGGATTTCAGTCCCGAAGGACTATGGCTTTCGTTTTGGCATTTTGCGTCGGACTCATAAACGTCGGTTCACTTTTCAAACTGTTGCCACAAAATGTTAGTCCTGCATTACATTTGAAGAAATTAAATAATGAAAAATCTGCATAAATGATTATCTATTTCTCGCATTGTGATAAAACAATGGTACATAGAGCCATCGAATTTTGAATGACGAAATCCTACTGCGAATATGGGCATCTGAAATCCCAAATTTGGAATTTGTTTTATTATAGATTTTATATTTTGTAAAACTTTAACGAATTTTTGATTTACAAACTCAATGCTTTAAAAGCGAGAAATGGCAACGTTATATAGAAAAAAAATACTTTTATCTCCAGCTCGCGAGACTGTGTATATCGGAAATTCTAAAGATATGCTTAATTTAACATTATTTTGCGATATTGCTCTTGAACTGAATTTTATGGTTTAAGTGCAAAGAACATGATATTTAATAAATAAAGGTAACACTCAAAACGTTAAAAAAACGCCCCTTTGGACGTAATTTAAAATCTAAAAAATTTCAGTTTTTTTTTTTTTTTTTTTTTCTTTGAAAGTTTTCAAGTAGACTATGTGTAAAATGTTTCCAGTCTCACTTTTTCTTTACACGATTCATATTACAATGTCTCTAATACTATGTACTATAAATGATGATTTTCAGATGCAGGGCGAAGTTAGATTGTAAACTGTTCTTGCTAAACAACTGGAAAAAATAGTGTTCAGAGTTAATGGCAACAAAGATAAGATAAAAATTAAAATTTTACCAATATGAAAATATAGTTTAAACTATGATGTTTAATTTGTGCAACACAGATTAGAGGTTTAAATCCGAAATGAGACTTGAGAAAAGTATATAGTTTGGAAGCTAATGGAAAGCAAAGTAACTGGTCTCCCCTATCACAAATGTTCTGTATATTACTGACAAGTTAGGTATTAATCATTTTCATAATTTTCTTTCGAGTTCATAATTTTACCAACTCAAAAAATGTAAACAGAAGTTTTCATTAGCAATAATGCCTGAGAAAAGCTTACTATTTTCTGATCCGTAACTTGGACAATTTGAACAGATTAGAATTTTAATGGATGCATTAATAAATTTGACGCACATAAAAGTTTTACAAAAGTTTAATTCATTCTAAATAAAGAAATGCATATATTTCAAATATCATATAAAGCTTGTATTTTCAAATTTCATATAAAGCTTGTATGATTAAATGTTTGTGGAACACGTTGAAAATATGTATTTTTTCACATTTTTCATAGCATACATGTTAAAAGTGAACAAAGCTTAGCATAACGAAAAAATACAAAAAATGATTCTAGACAAATCGTTTGAGATAAAATTTTGATGCGCTTATGAGAAGAAGATACCTTGTTAGCACTTTCTTAGAAATGTGTCCAACTTTGTTTTATGAGCTGATTGAATTAATACTGTCGTAAAATCACCTAGTTTTATAGGACTTACCTGATTTAGTATCAGAAAAATTCTAATTCTTTTAGGGTTGTTAAACTTGTAATTGATTCTAAGTTTCAGTTATTTTTTTCTTAGGTCATCCAAAATTGCGATGAATTGTTTTGCCACGACGAGTTATCTGCTGTACCCGACATTGGCTGGCCAGATTGCTTCAACAGTGGAGTTTTTGTGTTCGTGCCCTCTGTCCATACGTTTTGGAATCTGCTGGAATTCGCAGAAAATCAAGGAAGCTATGATGGTAAGAAAAATCCGTAATTTTTTTCTTATTTTCATATAATCATTCACTATTTTTATCTTCAATAAATATTACATTTTTTATAGTTTTGATTAGTACTTACGTATTCAGTTTTAAATCTGTTCATATACATGGGAGCCCAGAAGTGCAGTTACGTTATGTGCCTTATTTAAAAGGTTAGAAACGAAATACCGCTGATTTGGTGTCGGTATCTTGTTTCATTCTCGAGACAGGACTCCAAAATACATTAACATCAAATCTGATTGGGCGAATGGAGGGATGCTCATTCGTCCAATAGCGGCACTTACTAGCATATTTGAATTAATCTTCGAAGATATAGTTTGTGGATGATAAAAATATTTTTTTCACTTTTCCCTTCTCTGAATAGATTTATGTTTTCAAAGTAAATGCGCTGGTTTTCAAAAGTTAAACACGCAACGATAAAATCAACTAAAATAGAAGAGTAAAGCATTGATTAACACCAAATTATACATAAAGGAGGCAAATCTGTTTACGCATGAAAAAAAAGAATTATGTATAAAAATAAAAAGTTTAATTTTCATAAATTATATGATGAAATCACATTTGGATCATTAAGAAACTGCTGTTTCAAGCGAAAACCAAACAAAAAAAGCATTAATAAGCTATGTGACCACACTGGATCGTCACAAAAACTTCACAGCTTTTAGTGCAGTGATCAACGTAGCAGATGCTAGCGATGGCCATTCCTGCATTAGGGCAGTTTCCAATTGTCTGAGACTCGCTGAAAAAGATAAATGTGGAGAGACGGCATATTCGAGGGTGTCCCAAAGCTTTTTTCAATGGGATTAAGGTCGGGTGAATACGGCGGCTACTCATGCAAGAAATGCTCTCATTATCCAGGTACTCGTTAACAAATTTCCCAAAATGGAGATGGGTATTATCATCTATAAGGAGAAAATCAGGAACAACTGCTGTAGTATAGAGATTTACAATGGGGCTATAGGACTTCATCCCGATATCGTCACGGAAACGTCTTTAAAGATGTGTAGCTGGGTGCAATATTCCACTAAATTTCAGCCTACACCCCGATACTACCACCTCTGAATGCGTGATATTCGATGATGTTCTGCGCGTGATTCCATGTGCCTTGTTCTGCCCAGACTCTTACACATTTGTCATCTGATTCCAGAGTAAATCTGGACTCATCCGTGAACAGAAACTTGCGGCAATCTGACACGTTCTCATGGAGAAGGTCGGTACTCGGGCGTATAGTCCTTTTATGTGCAGCCTTCGGCGCACAGTACTGGTAGATATTGTCTTGCCAAATGACGCTACAACCATGGATGTAGCAGTGTAGATCACTCGCTCGTCGATTCCACTTGAATTCTGTAGAATATACCGATCTTCAGAAGGAGTGGTGACTGTTGGTCGACACAGGTCGCACGTAATGTTTGCCTTGTTTGGAATTAATTGTTTTCACCACTCTAAAAATTACCGGATGATCAATACCAAAGAAAAGGGCAATATCTTTGACTTACTGTCCATATTTTAATGCGTCCAACTACGTCTGTGCTCATCTGTCGTTCGTCGTTTAGCCATAGAAACACGAGTATCATCAAAACTTATCCTACGAAATTTATAAACACTTCGTATCATCATCTAAATAAACCTCTTCAAACCCTTCAGAATGTTAGTCTTCAGCGACATTCCAAAATAGCGTATATTCGGGTAGAATGTCCTGTTTGGCAACATACGTCGTGCAATATCTAATATTTGCATCCGCAACAATTTTAGCCACTCAAATTCAAGTATGCTTTATAAACTGCTAATTTGCTCTGCGTGCTTAACTTTCCCAAGCTTATTGTACAAACTCCATGCTAGGATGTTTAGACCTAACGATCTTTCCGCTTCCCTTAATCATGCATATAAAGATATATATATGTGTGACATTCTAGAGAGCTGATTTTTTTATAGCCTTAATCCTATTGTGAAATGTAAACCAAAAAGTTAGCTCAAATGACGAAAGGTAAAATAACTTTGTACCTTGGGTTTCTCAAAGCCAAAAAACATGAAAAGGCACCTGGGACCTCTCTGGAATACCAGCACTGATCTTCTAAATCAGGGATGTCAAACTCATAGGTACACTTGGGCCAGACAAACAAGGTTTAACTTTAGGCGGGCTGCAAAAAAAAAAAAAAAAAAAAAAAAAAAAAAAAAATATATTCATAGAAACCTTAGATTTATTTCGAAATACAATAATAAACATATATTATATAGAAAAGAACAAGAAAAATTTAATGTTTACGTCCTGATACTTGACATCTCTTCTCTGCTATTATCTTTCCTATTCGGGAGAAATTTTTTTGTTTGCAGTGATAACTTTCAACGCTGACCAAGGTGAGCATCATTAATACGGTTTCTAATAGGAGACTTATTACCTTTCATGACTGAAAATAACTGCTTGCACCGATAAGTGCTACCAAACATGGAAATAATTTCATATGCGAATTTTCGAGTATTTTCAAACCTGGGTGGTAAATATTTGTAAAATTCAGGCACGCCCACTTCAATGAATTTTGCTTTCAAATTTGAGTTGCATTGAATCTCGTTCACGTCCATTTGCATGTGGCTGGGTACTGAGTCAATACTTATTGAGAAAATCGAAGAAAACAAAAAAAAAAAATTGTCTTCGAGGGAACTAGGAACTAAAATCATTAAACCTAGTTTCAAATTCAGTTGTTTAAATTTGCAATTTTTCTGCGTTTTTTGATACGAACAAGTATCATCTAAACTTGATTTGTTTATGCTGCACGTCGGGAAGTGCGTCAAATCTTCATTTTTAAGTTCTTTTTCCCGAAGAACTAGTTGACATTTGAATGCTTTAATTTATGTCAAACATGTTCGTAATGATATGATCTTCTCCTTGTAACGATAAATTTAAATCGGTTAAGTGTTTTGGTTATATCAACCAAGAAAGATAAATCTTGTATCCGATATTGGATCGTAAAACAAACTTACGTCTTGATTTTTCGTTTTTAAAAACTGGACATATTTCTTCTTTCAAATCCTGGAATTGTGTGAGAATCTTGGAGCAAGATAACCAACATATCATCGGTATAGTAGGACAAACCCGAATATTCACTATCTAACTCACTTAAGAAAGCAGTGAATTGACGCTGATTTAAACCTCGATATCTTATAAAATTTTATAATTTTTTATATATGACAAAACATTCTCCATATTTATTACTTTCGTGCATAGAAGTCTTGATGTATAATACAATGCATATGATGAATGTTTAAACCGTGAAGTTTTTTTCTTAGTAATGCTACGAAGCCCTTGTTTTTCCCGGTCATTGATGGAGCGCCATCTGTAGCTACAGAATTTAATTTTGCCAAAGGTAGATTGTATTTCTGCAGAAGTCCAAAAACACAAGTAAATATATCTTCTCCTGTGGTAGTACCAGGCATCGGTATTAGTTCCAGTAATTCCTCAAAAATGTTAAAATTCTTGTCACAAGAACGAAGAGAAACACTGCTAATTGAGCTTTGCCACTAATGTCCGTTGCTCTCGTACAGGCAATGGAGAGAAACTTTCGAAACTAGATAATTTTGCTTTGATCTGATCACTTAAATTCGCGGCTAAATCAGTAACTCTTTCCGCAACTGTATTTCGAGACAATGAAAATTGATTGAAAAGCCTTCACATTTCCAGGACAAACAATTTCTCCAGCTTTCATTAAGCATTCCTTGATGAAATCACGTCAGTAAAAGGCTTCGAATGTTTAGCTATCAACTCGGGCAAGACGTAGCTTGCATGTACCGCCGCTTCACTTTTCATGCAATACTTTACTAAAACATGGACTGTTGCTTTTTCACTCCTAACTTGAGCTCTTTCAACTTTTCTTCTTCCTTCGTAATTGTTATATTTCGATTTGTGTTGTTCGTAATGACGTTAATATTATAACTTTGGTACATTACTAGTATTATTACATATCAAGCAGATTTTATTATCTTTATTTCACAGCAAAAATATATCTAATTCCCATTTTACTTGGAATATTCTATGTTCGTCAGCGATTTTTCGTTTTTAATTTTACTACCACTTGGTTTTGATATAGACATACTGAATACAAAGGGCTGGAATAAAACACGGTTAACGTTAAAAAGTTAAAAAATTTATTTTTTCCACAGAGGATAAATCAAAATGCTGAAATATTTCTTCAAAAATATTCTAACAATATCACAAAATGTCAAACGTTTAGCAAAAATAATTCAAAACTGAGAAACTAATTCTATCTCGGACCGAAATCGCTACAAATCAATCACAGCATTAAGTAAACAAACAGTTCGCTAGAATTACAGCTACTATTGAGATGAGTCGTTTGTTCTCGGCTTTTATAAGCTTTATAATTAATTTATCGAATATACTGGAAACATCTATAAATATCTGGATTTTTGTGGATGGCAACAGCAATTACGAGATATTTATTTATTAGGTATTATTAAATGCACGCGCTGTTCTATTTTAACCTTCCAACGCAGCTGTCTTTTCAAAAAATCGTCTGCGTTGCTAAGGCAACATGAAGCAATCTAATTACAATTCTAAATAAAAAAAACTAACTAAATAAATAACTATGAAATCCGTAACAATATGAATTAAGTAATAATTAATAATAAAGCAAAGTGCATGCACAATATATCTTACAAAACTATGATTGGAAAAATGAGACATGAGTTCGGCCACATTCGGCTATCGGGGATGCGTAACAGTTCTGAGTGCACGTGTCCCCCAAAAGCCGAAGGTAGCTGAAACAAGCTACTCACACGCATTTATAATTTAAGTAGTGTGGTGTCAGCTCGCGGTGAGTTATCTAACAAACACTGATAAATTATCGTTAATACTTAGCGTAACATTTTTTTTTTCTTCGTCGATATTTTTATTATTATATATTATTTTTGCCGATATATTGGCCGGGCCGCAAAAATATTTGTTGTGGGCCGCATGCGGCCCACGGGCCGCGAGTTTGACATCCTTGTTCTAAATGCTGGCTGGCCGTATTAACCAATTTCTCCATAAAAAGTAAGCACATGGAAACTGTAAAGCTTCCTTCTTTAGATTTGTATTAAAAAACGGGTCGAATTATTTCTCATATTAAGGCGAAAAGGAAATGTTTAAAAGCCCAAAATGCTT